GCACCAGCTCCCTCAGGTCAAAGATGGTGCTCTCGTCACAGAAGTAGTTCATCCACCAGCCCGGCGTGTCCACCAGTGTCACATGTCTCCCGAACACCATACCCTTATCAACCACACACTGAGCTGTTCTGCTGAGTGGCTGAGTGCTGTCCCGGCCCAGGATCGTGTTCAGTGCTGAAGTCTTCCCAGAACCCTTTGCTCCTAGCAGCACAATCCTGATGTCAGTGATGGGTCGCAGCCTCTCTGAAAGAATGAAAGTGGACATGCAGAGTAGAGGGAGGTAGATTTTTGAGGCAGCTGGTGTTTATTCTGACTTACATTCAAAATATTTTCAACATGTAGATTTGATGATTCGAAGGTTAAGAAACAATGAGCTACAGGGGTTTCAGGGAGGATTTCACACTTTCAGAAAGAGGTCAAAGTGAGAATAATTCATCTGTTTGGTCAGAGTGAAGCATGTTAGCAGGATCCACAGCGTGTTAGCCAGAGTCACAGCGTGTTAGCTTGAGCCCCAGCGTCTTAGCTGGAACCTAGGCATGTTAGCTGGAACCTAGGCATGTTAGCTGGAGCCCCGGCATGTTAGCTGGATCCGCGTGTTAGTCCGGAGCCACAGCGTGTTAGCCCGGAGCCACAGCGTGTTAGCCCGGAGCCACAGCGTGTTATTCCGGAGCCACAGCGTGTTAGCCAGAGTCACAGCGTGTTAGCTTGAGCCCCAGCGTCTTAGCTGGAACCAAGGCATGTCAGCTTGAGCCCTGGCATGCTAGCTGGGGCCACAGAGTCACACCGTGTCAGCTTGAGCCCCAGCGTGTTAGCTGGAACCAAAGCGTGTTAGCGGGAGGTACAGTGTGTTAGCTGAGCGTTTATTTGTCAGACTATTATCGGCTGGTCTACACTGACTCTAGCCTGTATTCATTTACAGAAATTGTTAGTATGCAGATATTGTGGCCTTTGAATTGAACCAGGCTATGAGTATCCAGGCTTTATGCTAAGCTAAGCTAAAGTTCGCTTTATATTTACATGAGAACTTCTAACTCAAGAAAGTAAGCAGTGCCGTGTGACTATTACTTTAAAGCTAGGCCACATTTGTTTGCAAAGTTTTTTTAGAATTTATGGTAACATACAGTACAGCCTATCTATTGTTTAGACAACATGTAACACCACACAATAATAGTAAAGTGTAGTTAAAATCTATCTTGCATTCAAATATGAACATTACAAATACCTAAAAACTGTTAAATGTTAGTGAGATGTTTTAAACCTTTTAACCAAATTCAAAGCGGCTTTAAGGGATAATTCTAGTGATAATATAAATAACATGAAAAACATTGCAAAATGAACAATTAATTGTTCCAACTAACAAATAGTGTCTGATTCTGTGCCAGATTATGCACAAAGCGTATTTTGACTCAGTGTCATCTTACTTCAGGAAAGATTGGTGTAGCAAATTTGTATTTATCTACAGGAGTCCCTGACTAACGCACAATTTCCTCTACTTTCAGTTATGTTTGCTAAAAACTACAGTGCCCTGTGCTTTTAGAAATTACTGATTTAAATTCTTTTTTTTTTAAGTTTATACCTTTAGGAACATAAAGACTTGGTGACAGGTACCATAGACGAGGTATCGTAATCAGAAAACATAGGTCAAATGTTGAAAATTCCCAGCGTTATGTTTTAAAACTACATTTATCTACATTTTCGTTCTGCAGCATATCTGTTTTTACTGTCATATTTGGAAAAAGTAATTAACAATAAAGTCAAGAATACCTATACAATGGATATATAATAGAAATAAAATAAATTAAAATATTCATTGAAATAAATGTATCTCCAGGAATTTTCATTCACTGCAAAAAAGAACATGACCGAAGAGAGAACAACGCCTCAAAATACATAACAAACTAAAGTAATTTTTTGCTCTACTTGTAAATGAAAAACTAAATGGGTACACACACACACACCTTTGAATCTCACCTTGCAGGAGAGATCTATGTTCTTTAACTCTCATCAACCTCCTCTGAGCTCTCTCCTCCACTCTTCTCTTCTCCTCTGCAGTCGCCTGAAATATGTCTTCTTGCATTTCAAACTCTCTGTTTCCATTTTCTCTGACAAGTTTCAGTATTTTCTCGAGCAGCTCTGTGACTTCAGTGTCATCACTCAGGTTAACACTGTGACTCCTCTGACTGCACCTCTCACTGAGCCAGTGGAGAGCCTCTGTTTGTACATGCTCCTCTGTTTCAGAGTGTTTCATCCTGTCAGTGCAGGTGAAGACAACCATGCAGTGACCCCATACCCTCTCACCCAGCAGGGCCACATGCTCCTCCACAGCCCGCCGTCGCTTCTCTGTGAAGGCCGAGCTCGCCTTGATGGTGATCAGAAATACATGCGGGCCTGGTGAGCACAGAGACACGCTGCCTGTGATCTCCCTCTTCACTAGCTCAGATGTGTCCTGAGCACTGAAGTCGCACCACCAGCCAGGGGTGTCTACCACTGTGAGCCACCGTCCGGCCACCATTCCCAGCCTCCGGGAGCAGGTGGTCCTCTCCTTTGTGACAAACTCTTCTTTTCCAAGGAGGAAGTTCCCCACAGAGCTTTTTCCAGAGTTTCTGCCACCAAGAAGGATGATCTTTAACTGGGATGTATAACCTCCATCCCCTAAAAAAGAAAAATGTATTGATAAACAAGGAGGAAAAGAAGAAACTGCACTGCCTTAAATCAAATGGCTTGTTCAGAGGCATTGATAAATTCTCATCTCAGGAGGAACTTAGTATCATATCAAGTGCATTCATATCATGAGCAAACAATGACGACATTTTTTACATGAATCAGTCATTAAATTAATCGATGTGTAAATTTTTTAAAGCAAAAACTAGCTGTTTTTTTTTACCAAAGATATTACCTGGGTTATTGATCTACTATGATAAACATGGTATATTTTTATTCTTTTATGTTTAACAGTCTTGGACAGTAACTTAAACAGCAATATTAATAATTGTTTAGGTAATTTTTTAAAGCAAAACTACCAAAGATCCACAGCTTCCAGCTTCTGAAATGTGAATATTTACTTGTTTTTTTTAATCTTTTATAGTCGTAAACTAAACATCTTTAAGTTTAAATACCAACATTCAACACTGTAACTTTGTTCCAATTTCTGAAATGTGAATATAGTATTTGCTGTCTTCTTTTTCTTATATGAATCTAAATTAAAAATGTTTCAAATTTTAGGCTGTTGGTTCAAAAACTAAATAAGTAAAAATTATTATCTTGCCATTGTTGAATTTAAAATGGACATTTTAACTTTCTTTTAATCATCTATAAACAAATCAGTTTATCAACTAATTGAGAAAATAATCACCAAATTATTTAATAATGAAAATAATAACAAGCCTCAGGCCAAAAAAAATTATATTCCATTAAAGAAAACATGGCATTAGCTTAAGTACTATTAAATAATTTTTTTAATCATGTTGTTCTTGAAAAGGTTTCACCTTTCATCTCTGGAATGAGACATGAGCAAACTCAGTTGTCTATGTGTTTGTCTCCTGAAGTCTTATAATGCTCTGTCAGTTACAAAAACAGGCCAATCAATAATCATTTTAAAGTTATGTAGTGTCAGAATAATCACAATCACGTATATAAGTTGAAAGTCAATGGATAGTATAGAGTGCAGTCATTCATCTGGAAATAAAACTTACATGCTGACAGCTCGCTGGTTGCCATCTCACATTCTGATTCTATAAGTCTATCAGAAGTTAGATTATTATTCATTCATGTGGCGTCTGTGTTTCCTCGTCCCTTGTGAAAATGTGAGCAAACCTTAGCTGCTGCTGAAGGAGTGGAAGCAGAAGATTGGGTTTTATGTGTTTATGAGTCTGAAGGTCGTCTGTAATGAGTAATCAGACACATGCAGTGGACTGGGAAGAACCACACCTCTCAGCAGCAAGTCGATAGTCCACTCTGAAGAGAAACATAAAGAGCAGCATTTATCATTTACTACACATTGTCAGAGAGAGAGAAAGAGTTTAATTACTGTTTTTGTTTTTCTCTGGGTTGTTACTGTGAATTTGAATTAAAGGTTCAGTGTGTATAATTTAGTGACATCTAGAGGTGAAGTTGCATGTTGCAGCTGAATACCCCTCATCTCACCCTCCCCTTCCCAACATGAAGGAGAACCTGTGGTGAACTTCAGTTGTCAAGTTTTTAAATATAAAGATGCCATTCTATGGAAAAGAAAACAACAATTCTCACAATTTAGATGAAACACACCAGTGAAAACATCTCTAGGAATATTGTATATTCAATTTCTGCCAAAAATCCCTTTCATCTAAATCTGATAGGTTTGTTGAATAGAAAGAATTGAGCTTTTGAACTAAATCTCACTATCAGGATGTGGCCCGGGTTGTAAAGGGAAAGTTTACTCATGCACATGCGTCAGGGTTCTGGGAAAGAAGAGGTGAGTGTTCTCTCATATGAAAGAGCAAATTATCATTGTGAAAACAAGATCTCTTTGTCTGATCTGACCTTTGTGAAGACAACGTATTACTGATGTAGCTGTAATGCAGGAAGTTTTACTACATTTTCAGCGAGGTAAAACCTCAACCACACGTGAGCCCCGCCAGTGACGCTTAATTGGTTTTCCAATCGGTCGCACTTTGCAGTGATGTATGGAATCAAAAGCTGCACTCAAGTGAGGAAGCAGCAGAGGTGGAATCTGAAAGTTTATTCAAAAGTTTCAAAGAGAAAACTGTTATATTAGATGTGGGCTGAAATCTGCTGAAATTCATCTCCTTCTGAAAAGGCACAAATCTAATAAAATGAAGAACGAAAACTTTACACACACACACACACACACACACACACACACACACACACACACACACACACACACACACAGNACACACACACACACACACACACACACACACACACACACACACACAGTTTTCAACATGATGTGAACCGAAGACTCATCATTGATCCGCCTCCAGAGATCAGGTGAGGGGTGCACTGGGAAACACGTGTGCCAGGAAGCGTGGATCTGATGTAACAAACCTCTGCTCTCCTGCCTCGCGGAGGAGAATCAGGTTAGTTTCGGTGTGACTGAAGTCAGCTGCTTTACAGGACGTCTCCGCTCTTCCGCTGACTCCGCCCAGCTCTCCTGCACAGCGTTACAAAAGCAGCGAGCTCACCAAACCTGAGCGAGACCTGGACTGGTGACTGCGCCGCCGGATCAGCAACAATGGGGGTGACGATACGAGTTGAATACTGGTGCGTATGTCTTATGTCTTATTTCTTTGCCTTCTGTTGACTCGTGTCTCATATTGATAAGAGGCTAGAGGCTGGCGATTAGCGTCGGTTAGCAGCGTTAGCTCGTAGCTAAGCTTAGCTTAAGTGGCTCGGCTAACTCTGGTGATAGCCGCAGCAGAAACACAAACGTTCCGTTAGCCAGAGGCGGAGAATCAGCTGTCACTTGATATTTCAGGGTGGAACGAAGACACAGTGTTCCACCTGAAGGTCTGTGTCAGGTGTGTGGATGATTCTCCCATTGTGTGAAATCCAAACGATTTAAACGAGTCCTCGCTGGGTTCGATGCTGTTTATTCTAGCAGCTCCAGGAAACAGAATGGAACGTAAGAGCCCTGGTGTTGATGCAGGAGTCTTATGATGGATGATGTGCTCGAACAATGTGGTTCTGTCTGTCTGACACTCTTCTTCACCTCTCCTCTTCAATCTGTCTTTCATTCCACTCCTCTGTTCTCCTCTCCTAACAGGGAAACAATGCCAATCAAACCAAACTTAATCTAATGTAGAGATCACATCTTATGAATGATTAATGGCTCAATTTATCATATGAACACTCCTTTAATATTCAGGTCCTTCAAACCATTAGTGCATGTTTCCATCCAATAGGTAAATACTCACGTTTGTCTTTCCTGTTCTGATTTACGAAGCTATAATCACATGTACAGGCGTGACTTGGTCTTTTTCAAAAATGATGTGTGATAGCAAATGCTAGACCAGTTGGCTCGCAATTATGTGCTGCTAACTGTTTTTAAAACTTTTTTTTTTAGTGGTTCATGAGGTTACGAACCCCGCTATCTGGATCTCGCAAGTGTTGTCAAGGGCGACTTTCCAGATGCGGAACTGTCAGGCTTTTTGGGAAGAAGAGGTAAGTGTCATCTGACCTGAAAGAGCAAAAAATCAACTGGAATGCAAGATTTTTTAGGTCCATACCTTTATGTGAAGGCACGTACTGCTCCTGCCACGACGACTCCAGAGAGCTTGCAAGTGATCTTGTCTTTTTCTTTTGTCTCTCAGGCAGCTTTGAGATTGTAATCAATGGGCAGCTAGTCTTCTCAAAGATTGAGACTGGCGGCTTCCCTTATGAGGATGATGTGAGTAACTCAACAATCACATAAAATAGGATTCACAGCAATAACACTCTATTTACATATTTATTTTTTCTCTACCACAGGTCATGAGTATGGTCCAGAATGCCCATGATGGCAAACCTATGCAGAAGATCACCAAAAGCCGCCCACCATGTGTCATCATGTAAAACCTCCCTCTGCAGCACAGAGACAGGCCAGTGCAACTGCAAACTGCCAATACCAAATCTGGTTTACTGCAACCATCATAAAACAAGCTGGGATAACACACTGTCTGATACAAAACCCACAGAAATGCACTTTTACTACTAGCTACATTCTCTGATGCTGATCACCGAACTCTGCTCTAATCTTTGCCTTCCCTCTCTGTTCCTATCACGGTGCTCCAGGCTGTTAATGATTACCATGGCCTAAACTATTAAGGGTTGTGGTATGATGAAGCCATTCCTGGAATATCTTTCTTTTATAGGAACAGCGACAGCGAGATGAAGAGTTGGAGAGAGCTCACATTTATTTTTACTACAGCCATATTGCCTCACATCCTCAAACTGCCTGTTCTTTTAAATTTTTTCATTGATCTCACATGCAAGTTTCAATTTTCAGTGAATGCAAGGACAGTACAAAGTAGTTGCACATAATATTAAAGCATAAAGGGAGACTTTGATAATGATTTCATATCAAAGTTTACTGTATAGGTTGTGAATAGAGAAGCAATGTCATAATTTGATGTGTAACTGCAAAGTTAAGCTTACAGTAGTTTTCTGTTTTTTTTCTATCAAATTGGAACATCAAACTTTCAAATCCTCACTTGTAGTGCTGCCACTGTTTGACCATTTAAAAAAAAAAATAATAATTTTAATGTTAAACTGTTTATTGAACTTGGTCAGATACTCAAGCAATCATCTGTAGTGCTTCTGAAGACCACCACCCACTGGTCTGTCAGATCATGCTGAGATGTCTGCTTGTTTTCCAAAAATCATCCTTTTCTGTTAACTCAGATGTCCAAACTGTAAAATTCCAATAAAGGTTATGGTTGTTTCATTATCTTTTTGTTTTTGTCTCTTTTTCATGATGTCTTAATGTATTACCCAATGACTTCAAGTATCCTTAGGGACTTCCGTAACTGTTCGTGTGGTGATGTTTTGCTGTTCCTCTTGGTGACATCAGTTGTTTCATAATGAGTCTCTTGATAATGTTGGCCAGCAACTGCCAATTAATTTTGGAAACAACCTGCTTTTTGTTTTTTACAAAACTATAGATAAAGAGGTTATAGTGAATGATGCAGAGTTCTATTGTGATGAGGAGACACAACTGCTCTGTTCTCGTCAGTTAGGCAGTGTGTTGTTTCCCACATTGTTTACACTAAGGGGCGCCAAATTCAACGGAGACTTCCTTCTTCTGTTTATTGCCGAACTCCAGGGGGGCTAGTGTCACACTCAGTCACAGGCTGACGTCAAGTAGAGATAAGTATGCTGTGGTCTGGAGGGGGAAAAAACTACCGAAACCCTTGAGGCTGCTTTTGCATATAATTCTGTAAATTGAACCTTGAAGCATGTAATTACAATTAAAATAGACAAAATTGCGACAAGCATGTGAAATGTTAAAAATTGTCCTTTAGCCAGAAAATGACTTATTTCCAAAGAAGAAAGGGTCTAAGATAATTGCACTCATCTTCATATCTAGTCACATTGAGCACAAAGAGTAGATTTCTGAAGTGAAAAAAAGAAAATGAGAATCTCTAATGTAATCTCACATTAAAATGGTTCAAATTTCCTTACAAATTCACAGATGCATACATATAGTTAATCAGAAGAGACGCATTCGCACTCAGACTTTAGTTGTTTCGTAAAAATAAACATTCCATTGAGCTGATATGACATGAAGTGGTTACTACTTGTTGATGGATGGCAAATATAGGTGGGTCTTTGGTGCTGCCTCTGGCTCTTAGTGATAAAGCAGCCTGCTTGTTGTAATCCTGATAGAGCTCAGAAAGTTACTCCTCCTCCAATAAGAGGTTTGAAAACCTTCTTTGCCCTTTAGAAGGTGTTTTAGTCTGACCCTCCAGATTTATATTTAAATTGATAGACCACATGCAGGTCTCCACCATATGATCATTATCACACATTACTATGTGACATCTAAGACAGACTGTGCCAGTGATGATGAGCTGCATGTAAATCAGATTGGTTGACTTTATTTATCCTTGTGGGGGATTAATAAAGTAGTTTGTCACAGCAGCAGGTACAGTGATGCAAAAATGACAAACTACACAGTTAAACACAACAATAAACAGCCCTAAAGCAGTTAAATAAGGTGGTAAAAACAAAACACAAATATTTAAACTAGAATGTCCAACAGTCCCCTTATGAAACCTTATTTAAATTCACTACATCCTTTTTATTTGTATCGGCATCAAATTAAACATCAATCCATTAAATATTATTTTCATCAAGATCCATTTCCAAAAATTATCTGAGGAATTAAAGTGTATGTTGAAAAATGCCATAATTTACAATGTTAAAGAAATATAATCTTCTAGGATTTCCGGGGCTTCGTAGGAGTTCAACATTCTTTAGGTGGAACCAGAATATTGTGGTTCTCAGTGTGACCAAAGGGATACAAATTACAATATCTGTGCAAAATTGTTTTTTTTCCTCTGACCTCAAATGTTTTCTTTTTCTGTTGAAATGATTTCGACTAACCATAACTCTGAGAGTTTTCAATGACTCTCAACTCCCATCCAGAATAAAATGACAGTCTTTGTTCAAGGGTTATGACTTGAGATTAAATCTTCAAGTATAAAGAGAATTATCAATAGTCTCTTACTAGAATGGCTCAGATCCATTTCCAATAATTCTCTGAGAAATCAACGTGAATGTTGAAAATACGCCATAACACTCAAGAAAGGCAGGGGGAAATTCCTGGATCGCTACTTGAATTTAACAGGCTCTTCCTTGGCTCATGCCCCACACGTCTAAATAAATTCATGGAAACCGGGTGAATAGATTTTGCGTAATTCTGATGACTAAAAAAGAAATGCAGCCAAAAACATAACCTCCATCATACAGGTAAATATACAAGGCAAGTAGTGTGATCGTCTAATGTACAGTGGACACAGTGCAAAGTATTGATGTTTACAGTGCCGAGAAATTATTCATTTTGTCTTGTTCAGTGTTCACAGGCCTGGGAAAGACACCCTGTGGGTAGAATGTGCTCTGTGACTGAACATGCTCTTAGTTTGTTATTCGTAAGGAGGTTAATACTAAAACAAACAA